GAATAAGGGTCTAGATGGAAGTGTTGGTCGGGCCACGTATTACAAACCGATGCACCTTTGGGACAATTCATCCGGAAATATCGTACTTGCAGACTTCGCTACTCACTTTTCTTTTGTCATAGATTCCCTCAAGAGCAGTACAATAAAGGCTGATGGGTCTGCGGTTTTCCTTGCTTCCAATGGCTAAAAAATCCCACCTGATTCAGAAGGCGGCTTCTTGGGACTTGAAAGCGGCGATTCGACCTGCATTAATGATTCATTTGTTGCAGTGGAATTTGATACGTATCCCAATCCATGGGATCCCGTGATGTATGATCACGTTGCCATTGATCGCAACGCTGTCAATAATTCGCTCACCTTTCTCCGGTGGCGGTGGAGTGATACTGAAAATGGGGGAAAGGTTGATGCTTTCATCAGTTACAACTCGTCTACAAAAAACTTGACTGTTGCTTTACTTGATACCGACGATATCACTTGTAAAAATTCATCTAGTCTTTCAACTATACTGGATCTTGGCAAAGATTTACCAGAACGGGTTACTTTCGGCTTCTCAGGAACCACTGGGTCGTCGTTTGAGCTACATACTATTTATTCCTGGAGTTTCAGCTCAAGCTTAGAAATTGATAATAATATATCTGATCCGGAACCCATTTTCAAGACCAGTAGAAGACGGAAAAACAGGACGGGTTTGGCAGTAGGATTGGGAGTTGCCGGTGCTTTGGTTGGTGGAATTTTTTTGGTTTGGCTTGCTAGTCTGCTCAGAAAGAAATTTGGGAGGGATGAAGAAAATGGTCATGTCATTGGTGAGGAAATAGATGATGATTTTGAAAGGGGAACGGGACCGAGGAAGTTTTCATATAATGAATTAGCTCATGCCACTGACAATTTTCAGGACGTAGGGAAGCTAGGAGAGGGAGGCTTTGGTGGGGTTTATAAAGGATTTTTGAGGGATTCAAGCTCCTATGTTGCTATCAAGAGGGTTTCGGGTGGATCAAAACAGGGGGCAAAGGAATACGCATCAGAAGTAAAGATCATCAGTCGATTGAGGCACAGGAATCTAGTGCAACTCATCGGGTAGTGCCATGACAAAAAAGAGCTCCTGCTTGTTTATGAGTTCATGCCCAAGGCAGCTTAGATTCTCACCTCTTTCAGGAAAATAGCTTGTTGACATGGGAGGTCAGGTACAAAATTGCTCGAGGATTGGCCTCAGGATTGCTATTCTTGCACGAAGGGTGGGAACAATGTGTGGTTCATAGAGATATAAAATCAAGCAACGTTTTGCTGGATGCTGATTTCAATGCCAAGCTTGGAGATTTGGGCCTAGCAAGGCTTGTGGGCCATGCCAAAGGATCACAAACTACTGTTTTGGCTGGTACAAGTGGGCTACCTGGCTCCGGAATGCCACATAGCAGGTAAGGCAAGCAAACAATCAGATGTGTATAGTTTTGGTGTCGTAGCTTTGGAGATAGCCTGTGGAAGAAACCCGATTGACCCAAAGGCCGGAGAAGGTAAAGTTAATTTGGTGGAGAGGGTTTGGGAGCTGTATGGAACAGGAAAACTGCTTGAAGCATGTGACCCAAGGTTACGTGGGGAATTTGTTAAGCAGGAAATGAAGCAACTGCTGATCATCGGACTATGGTGCGCGCACCCTGATGAAAATTCTAGGCCTTCGCTACAGCAAGCCATTCACGTACTCAATTTCGAAGCTCCATTACCAATTCTCCCATCAAAGAAGCCTATGCCTATATATTATGCTCCTCCACTGAACGTTTCTGCATTTCCATTGTCTTACGGTGGCACTGACTCTGAGGGGCTACAAAACCAATTGTCAAGCTATAGTTATAGCACCAATTTCTCACAATTCACCGCATCTTCAAGCTCTTCGGCATCTACATCTCTTTTGTCAGCTCGCCAAGTCTAGATTCTTTGATTTATATCTTACCAAAATCAATCACTTTGTACTCATGATTTCTGGAGAGCTGACAATGTAAATTATACTGGATTGGTCACGATTGCAGCATTGTGTGCATAAGGTGCACTAAGTTTCTATGGTTGTATTTGTCTTGGCCTGTTCAAGAGTTGAGTGTTTATTGTTTTTATATCTAGGTGTTTGTTGTATATTGGTGGTGCCTTGTGCAATTATTGTAAGTCAGGCATTCTTTATGCTGGATAGTCTTATGAATTCCACTCACTGTAACACAGTGCATTGTTTATACAAATAAATACTTATTTTGGCTGAGAAAAAAATTTACTCAAACTACATTAAGGATGTTGCATTTACCATCTAAATAAACTACATACTTATATGGTTACTGCAAAATCAAAACATTACGTTAAAAAGAAAGTTCATTTTGAAACTCTTTTTTCTTTAATATCATTAAACAAATTTATGAGATGAAAACAATAAAGTACCTGCCTTTCAACCTTAGACCTTTAATACTAGTCACTTTTCCTTTTTCTTTTTTTTTTTAGGAATTAATCCCACATCATTCATAATTAAACACTTAGCTTTCTTTGTATAAAGCCTTGGTTAGAGCTGGGGGGTTTGGAAGCAATCTTAGAAACTAGTAAAAAAGGTCTTTAAGGGTCTTACTACGAAAAAGCATAAAGCCGCCTTCAATTCTGAGAATTGAAAAGGGGTCGTCTACTGCTCTAATTCTGAGAATTAAAGAGGCTCATCATCTACTGGATCGACTTAAGGAGGGATTAGTTATCTACAAGGCTTAGAGCCGGATAACTAGTAAAAAAGCCTAGAGCCAGAAGCGATCTTAGAAACCAATAACACGCAGGTGAAAATCTCAATTTCCTATTCATTTAGAAGGAAAACGTAAATTACTGTGCAAAAGTTGGGGAGTATTTTGATTTGGTTCGCAACATAAGCCGGCTTAACAGAGCAATGGCCACTGCCCACTGACATCCGGAAGTGTGGGTTGGAGGTACGGTAGGGCTTTGGTGAAACCATTCCTGACAAGGGGACTTCACCCAGGCAAAGGGGAGGGGTAATACTGAAAGGCTAGCTTCTGGTCAAAGCCGCGTCTCACAACTGAATGTCCACTGGGCTAATGACACGAGGCGGACTTCATCCAAACCTCAATGCCGGAAAAGACGACCATCTTTTGCACACAAAAAATGGAATTATACAGCCAGGCATGAATCATAGTGCACGCCAGGTTTTAACTTGATCAGTTTCTAGTTGACGTTAGTCAATTCCGTTGCTCTTTTCTCCAATTATTATGCACTTTTTTGAGGCAATCAGATGTATTAATTTATCAATCACTAGAAACTGACAAGTTTCGTGATGACACGTACTGTGAACTTATTATAATCATTATATTTATTAAAATTATAATTAAATATTTTTATATATTTATAAACTTATAATATGTAAAAAAAATTAAATTATTTTAAAAAATTTAAATAAATTTTTATATTTTTATTATATTCAATTAATCTCTTATACTTTTATATTGAGCTAAATAAATATTTATATGATTAAATGTCATAAAAAAATGAGAGTTTATTTAAATTTTTTTGAATAATTGAAAGACTTATTTAAGTATTATACCATTTATAAAATACTAGTATGTTTTGTGTTGGAAGGCATTGCTATTTTGCAAGCATTGTTCAAAGTCTTAAAAAGAATTTTGTCATTAATAAATATAATAAGAATTGTGTAAGAAATTCGTGGAAGTAATAATATTTTGAAAAATTACGTACTATATATTGTTGAATTATATAAAGCTGAGTGTTGAAAAAAAAAAGTGTAGGAAACTTTATACAGTTTTTGTGTTAGTTCAAGAGTGGTTCTTTTGTAAAAAAAAAAATGGAGGTAGTCTTATGGATGAATTACAATTAGTATTGTATGTTACTAACAACTATTGAAATATATTGTACAACAATAAATTTCAAAATATAAGTTAACAAAAAGAAATTTTAGACGATGTGGCAGTTGGTCAATGTTGTTTCTTTGATATGTTTCTATAAACATTCTAAACAGCGTAGAAGGACGTCCAGAACACCATTACATCATGATAGCAAGTTAAAATTGTCCTTAATACAAATAAAGAAGTCAATATGCATGGTCGTGTATACTCTCAGCATATTGAAAAGTAGCACAAATGTCACAACAACAGTCATGGCCTAAAGAGGTATAATTTCAGAAATTGGCTGAACTTTTTGCAAAGCACCAGCTATGTCCGAAAATTAAACTGAAAGTTGCTAATTTTGCAGGTGGTAATTGTGAGAAAATCTTTGACTCCAGCGGTTAATTGAAGCAGCGATTGGAGTTTCCTTCCCTTTCTACACAGAGCTCTGGGATCAGAAGTGCCATCATAAGATTCTACACCACTCCGTGAATGTTTGCTTTAACCTAGCTTCTGCGCTGCAACTTTCTTAGACAATGAAATACCAAATTTGTTCTCAAACTGTCTGAATAGATAAACCATACTCAGTAAATGTTCTGGAAAGATTACCTTCCTCACTCTCTTCGCCTCATTCCTGCACGTTTCTTCCTTTTCTCTTCAGCAAAGACAACAGTCAGCTCTCGAGGAAGAAGAATTTGTTCATCCATCTTGTATTCGGCTTCTGCAGTATCAGCAGGATGAACATATTGGACAAAACCAACCCCTTGAGGTTCCCTGCAAGATTACACAAAAGAGTCTTGCAAAGCCACAGCAGAAAATCAAACCTCACTGCCACCGGCAGACCAATATCCCTTTCCAATGATATTTCCAAAATAGTGTCTCTAGGAATATGGAAGGTTATCATAAGCATGAAAAAGCAAGTACTTGCCTGCTAACCTTGCAAGTGTCAGTTTTAAGATCACTTGAAATTCTTCAAGACTTGGAAACTTCTTTCCGGTCTTCACAACGACTAACATTATTTTCAAAAGAACTCTAATTACTTTATTGATGTCTTCAAAACTTTAATTTCACTGTTAAACGTCAAGAACTCCAATTAACACACCCAATTTGTGATTATAAAAATGTATGCTTAAAGGAATGCCTCAACATCAAAGTAGATATTCATAGGGAGGAGCATTAGCATGTCTGCTTAGTAAAAGCTTAGTGAGAAATAGATGGGTCAAACTTGGGGATTTCGGGTTAGCTAGGCTTGTCGATCCTGGAACGTGGTCACAAACCACTCTGTTGCCCTGGACTATGGGCTATATGGCTTCTGAGTGCGTTTCTTCAGGAAAAGCTAGTAAGGAATCAGATGTTTACAGCTTCGGAGCTGTCACATTGGAAATTGCATGCGGTAGAAGATCAATAGAGCCCAAATATGAAGAGTCTCGGGCCGCATTGCTAGCCTGGGTGTGGGACTCGTTTGGGAAGAAAAGGCTGCTTGATGTAGCAGACGGGAAATTATGTCTGGACTCTGATATTAAACAAATGGAACGCTTGCTGATGATTGGACTGAGGTGTGCCCATCCAGATCACAATTTAAGACCTTCAATAAGGCAGGCGATTCAGGTTCTTAATTCTGAGGCTCCATTGCCAAATCTTCCACGTACGAGGCCTACTCCCACGTATGATGTAGCTATGGCTTCTGGAGCTAAAGCAAGTGAGCCATATTTTTCTACTTTGACTATTACAGTGCCGCGTTAAATTGATTAATTAGTTTGTGTAACCGAATTTACCTGTCACAATCTTTTCTCCTTGTAAAATTAGATTTGGTGGTACAATTAAGTGACAGCATTTCTCCATGGAAACTATGCCACAATCTTGTTGCTCATAAACGATTTTACCAAAATAAAATAATGGTACGAAGGAGAACAATGAAAAATACTTTCTAGCGAGGGCCCACCTCTGCTCCCTAGTTTTGCGGGGACCCTTGACTTGATACAAGACTAAAAAAGTCCTTGCAAATTGCAGCCACTGACTTGACGGACCAATTATCGCTATTGGGCCCAAGACTTGGCCTTCACCGCACACGTCAAGTAGGAAGATCTATATTTTTAAATAGTGTTTTTTATTTAAAATGAAAAATAAAATTATGTAATTAAACATAATAAAAAATAAAAAAAATTTAATTTTTTTTATAATTCAAGAACTTTTTTTAATATTATACCAAATCAAATCAATCTTGATTAAAAATAAATAAATATACATATAATTCACTCCAAATATAACCATTTTACATAAAAGTAATTAAAATCATGCATTATTATTCTCTAAAAGAGATTATATTTTTAAAATTTTTATATTTCAAAGATTTTATCTACTTTTATCCCAATGGATTTTTTTTTTCTTTCAAAAGCAAATAATAAATATTAACGATAGCAATCAAATTAATGATATTTTGAGTTTTCAATATTATAATATATATCCATCTAGTGGACACTTAATCTTATGCAACTATAAAATAAATTTTACTTTAAAAAAAATGAAGACATGAAATAAGAGAGTGGGAAGATTGAGATGAGTAGTAATAAAGTTAATTAGAGTTTTAGAATTTCTACATCAGAAAAAATTGAAATAATCAGATGATAAATAGAGTGAACTTATTATTAGATGTTTAAGAACGGAGCCAAACAAAAAAACAAAACAAACCAAATGATGTTTAAGAAAGAGATAAAATAAATGAGATAGGAACACAATTACTCAACCTCCCTTTTTATGTATGAGTATAAATGCTTTTTTTCTGATATAGTATAGTATTAGAATAGATGATTAACATACCTTCAAGGATATTAATAAGAGTCCAAATCATGAACAACTAAGTCTACTTCCTTCATTCTAATTCCGCATTCAAATGTGTGGAAAAGATTACTTTTTTGTTGTTCTAGCTGTCTTCCGATTCTTTTTTTGATTAAATGGGAATTTCATCGGAAAATGAATCAACAAGGTAATCCCATCATTTAAAACATATAAAGGTGCATCCTTAAAGTTCAAGAAATAAACGAAACCAGATTAAGGTATTCTTTGTCCAGTGCGTATGCTTTAGTCCATGATGTTACGTGTATGAAATGTGAAACCACTCAAGTGGCCTTCCTCATTTCAAATGGAATAGTACAATATATTCATTGTTTTGAACAACTTAAGCTAGTGGAGAAGACCCAACAATCATCACTTTGCAGCATTCTTCCTCAGTCCTCACCCTGGTAAATTATGGAAGCTCAAAATGCTGAGAGCTTTTATCTCAAATCTGGAAAACCTACATCTCTCTTAATATTCTGCATCCTTCTTTTCGGTTTATGTCCTCTCTCAAAGGCAACAACCGATGACAACACCAATTTCAATTTCACTGCCTTCGACCCAAATATGCATGGAATAGTTTACGAAGGTAATGCTTCCCCATCAGCCGAGAATCCAACTCACCAGTAACCAAAGGGACAAGGGTCTAAATGGAAGTTGTGGTTGGGCCACGTATTCCAAACCAATGCGCCTTTGGGACAATTCATCCGGAAAGGTCGTACTTGCAGACTGCACTACTCAATTTTCTTTTGCCATAGATTCCCTCAAGAATAGTTCAAAGGGTGATGGGTTTGCGTTTTTCCTTGCTCCCAATGGGTCAAAAATCCCGCCTTATTCAGGAGGCGGCCTCTTCGGGCTTGAAAATGGCGATCCGACCTACATTAACTATAGATTTGTTGCAGTGGAATTTGATACGTTTTCCAATAATTGGGATAACGCGATGTCAGATCACGTGGCCATTGATCTCAACACAGTCCAGAAGTCTCTTACCTCTCGCTCATGGTGGTGGAGTGATACTGAAAATGGGGGAAAAGTTGATGCTTTCATCAGTTACAACTCGACGATAAAAAACCTGAGTGTTGTTTTGCTTGATACCGATGATTATACTCAAAAAAATTCATCTAGGCTTTCTACTATATGGGATTTTAGCATATATTTACCAGAATGGGTTACGTTTGGCTTCTCAGGAACCACTGGGTCTTTGTTTGAGATACATACTATTTATTCCTGGAGTTTCAGCTCTAGGTTACAAGTTGCTATGCATAAAAGCTATCAGACTAATCCTCCAACACCAGCACCTGCAGCAACAACGAATTCAACAAGTCCTGCAGACAACCCCAGAAAAAAGAGCAGGACATGGCTATGGGTTATTTTGGGGGTTGCTGGTGGCATTTTTGCTCTGCTTTTGGTTTTGACTCTGGTTTGGTTTTTCTGCTGGAGGGAAATTACAGGGGCAAGGAAGTGGAAATAGAAATGGTGACAGCACCTAGGAAGTTTCCTACAAGGAATTGAGATTTGCAACCAATAATTTTGCTGATGAAGGTCTGCTTGGAGAGGGAGGTTTTGGTAAGGTTTATTTAGGCTTTTTGAGGGACATGAATTGCAATATTGCTGTCAAAAAGATAACTCCACAATCTCAACAAGGGGTGAAAGAGTATGCATCAGAAGTGAAAACTATTAGCAGGTTGAGGCACAGGAATTTAGTCCAACTCATCGGTTGGTGCCATGACAATCAGGAGTTCCTCATTGTCTATGAGTTTCTTCCAAATAAAAGCCTCGACTACCACCTGTTTAGAGAACCATGCTTGTTGACATGGGAGAATAGGTACAAAATTGCAATGGGCTTGGCCTTGGCGTTGTTCTATCTACAGGAAGAATGTGAACAATGTGTGGTACATCGAGACATCAAATCAAGTAAGGTTCTGCTGGATTTGAGTTTCAATGCCAAGTTAGGTGACTTTGGCCTGGCTAGACTTGTTGAGCATGGACAAGGGTCGCGAACAACGGTTATGCTTGGGACTGATGGCTATGTAGCACCAGAGTGTCTTGAGACATACCAAGCCATTAAGGAATCAGATGTATTCAGCTTTGGTGTTGTTGCGTTAGAAATAGCCTCTGGAAAGAAGGCTATTGCGGTAGTAGATAGAAATGGCAAGAGACTCAAAACTAAACTAGTGGAGTGGGTTTGGGAACTGTATGGGAGAGAGAGTATTTTTGATGCAGCAGACCCACACGATTATCTGACAATTATGACAAGGAACAAATGGAACGCCTGATCTTAGTTGGGCTGGCTTGCGCTCATCCAAACTACTTTGCCCGCCCATCAATAACGCAGGTCGTTGATATCCTTGGTTTCAAAGCTCAAGTGCCCGTGCTGCCACTGGATATGCCAGTTCCAACTTACAGTGCAGCTCATCAAGCCACTATTGCTGTATCTTCTGCGTCGAGTTCATCCCAGACCACTGCCTCCAACAGAAGCCAAGCCCAACTTTCAGGCACTAGTTCTAAGGGTGATTCCTCGAAGGTTAGAACAAGTACTCCAGCTACAAATACAAAGTGACCTTCGCATAAAATATTTAGGCTGAATGGCACATTAAGCCGCCAGGTAAAAGCCGGTTGTATTTGCTCTGCGAATTCTTAGTAGTTAATTAAGTCTAGTTATTTGTAGCGTTGACTCATATTTTCATTGATGCCTCGTTGCATCCTAGAATTCTCCAATTTGTGTTTTGTTCTTTTCGTACTGATTCGTGCTGGATTAGGCATATGGTAAATGCTCCGCGCAGCTATTGACAAGCCCATTTAGAAAGTTAGTTAGTTCATGTCCCAACCTTGAGGGAGAGGGTAGCGGAGAAGAGCTGGATCTTGAGTTTTTAGTCTTGTTCTTGTGTTTTGTAATGGTTTTCAGATTATAATGTTTACTTTGATGGTTAATAAAAGTTTAATTTACTTACTGATATGTGTAGCTTCATTCGAAAAGTCAATCAGGTCATAAATGTACAAAACGAAAATGGGTTCCTGATGGAGCGGAGTGGGGAGCAGAGCAGCTGAGGGTCACCCGCCAAACTGTAACTAATTGTTAGAACAAAAGCAAAAGCGGATTTAAGACTATTGGTTTTGCTTATTCATTAGGGACTGAATTGTTTTCAATTTTATAGTTAGAACAAGAATAAAATCAGGGACATTATTGAATTTCATGCAAACTAGAAATATAAAAGTGTATGGTAACAATGAAAATTCATTTTAGAACACAATTATTCAAGCGGGTAAAAGTCAGATTTGGTGCTACATTATTTACAGTATTTCTCTACGGAAACTATGCCACAATGCCTTATTGGCGCATGAATTGATTGTTGCTTGAAATCTTTATATAGGAATTTCTTGTGCAGAAGAGACAAGGGACTTTTATAAAGGAGATTAAATTAACTTTCTTGTTGCTCAACGAATTATTGCCATCAACCTTCGAAAACTTTTAAAATTTAATCCACTAGAAAAAGGCGCATCAAAAATTTAAAATCATAAGCAATTTAGGACTTTTCGAAGATAAAATGCAAAATTTTGTAGACGGTTTTCGTGATATGTAAATTGTAATATTGTAAAAAAAATTTTACAAAAATATGTTCGAGCTATAAGAGGAGAAAATTATAGCAGTTTTTGAAATATTAAGAATTGTAGCAGGTGATGATAAATATACTATAGAGAATAACTAAACAGGTAAGTAAGACGAAAAAAATGTGAGAGATATGTAAACGGCAGGGTAAGGCGGACAATAGAGAGGAGTAAATTAAATAGAAGAAAATCTAAGAGGAAATATTTAGAAAGAATGAGAACTTAAATGTGAGTTTATTTGTCTCTATCAAAGAAATCTTATTCTATCTTTGAATGAATTGTAAAAAATTCTATGTATAGAGTAG